GCTACGGCTGACTTGTCCGGATGTTCTAATCGTATATGCCGTTGATGTTCTTTCAACCTCGTGTCCACAGAACGGCCCGTCTGCCCGATGTAGACCTTGCCGCACTCACATGGAATTCTGTAAATTCCCGGTGTCCTCAGTCCCAGGTGATCTTTGACAGGCCGGAGAAAATTAGATATTTTCTTTGGGGGCAGGCCAACTGATTTGATGTTATGTCGGGACAGTACTCTGCTGATCCTGTTGAATATAGTCCCGACAAAAGGCAAGAAGGCGACAGTTCCTCTGCGGTCATCAGGTTGAATGCTGTTGGGTTGGCGGTTGAGGGCCCTCTGGATCTGCCGGTCGTTATAGCCATTGCGCTTGAAGATGTCCTTAAGGAACTCCAACTCTGCACGCAGACTCTCTTGATCGCACAGAGCTCTGGCCCTATGTACCAGTGTGGACAGAGCTGCCTGTTTACTGGAAGGGTGATGATGGGACTTGGCATTGAGATACAGGTTTTTGTGTGTGGGTTTGCGGTATACTGTATGGCCTAGAGAGCCGTCGGGTCTCTTGTAAATATCTATGTCTAGGAAGGGGAGGTGGCCTTCATGGTTTCCATGGTGAACTGAATGCATGGGTTGATACTGTTTAAGTGGTTCAGGAAACCCTTCAGGTTGTCAGGTCCGTGGGGCCAGAAACGTCGGCCAAAACGAAGAATACACGGTGCCTAAACCCAGAAGACAACTTTCTACAAAATGCTTATGTTTGCTCTAGTCCACTCTGAAGATCTGTGACAACTTGCATCTGAAGACCTGTGAAAACAAAGTGCTTATTTTATTGCTCACATCCATTTTGAAGACCTGTGAACAAATTTTCCTGTATACACAGATAGCTTTCCTTAGTTCACATGAATGCCCTACTAGTAACTGAATCCTTTTGCGAACCAACAAACTCTACTAGTTTCCAATGCGTTCTTATTTTCCGTTCACACCGACAGTGACTACACAAGTGTTATAAGAGTATATTCTTTGAACACTTGAATTTTCACATCTGTTCAAAAAATGTGAGTTTAATAGGCAGTAAAAAAATAAGAGAACAACAAGAAAGTGCAAAATCCAGATGACTGTTTCTATATTACAGCCTAGAGCACTGGTATTCAACATTTTCTGTTCATGTACCCCTAATATAATTTCTCTTCAACTTTGTACCCCAAAAGTTGTTGGTGTATAATTTAAGTTATACAGTCTATAAACTGCATCCAAATAAATTAAATTCATTACATCCAAAATAATGTATTAAATAATAAGTTTCAAATGAGAAAAAGGAGAACCAATCTATTAAATAACAAATATATTATTGCCCATCATATAAAAATTAATAAAGGAACAAAGGTATTTTAGTAAAGCAGAATTATATGATTAATCATTTTATCAATTATTTATGTGGTTCTGAACTTTTAATTAAATGACTGAGCTTGTTTCTGGCACACCAGCAACTCCATTCAGGAACAAATTTTAATTTTATGTGCCTTGTAAGACATCTTTGCAAACCCCAGGATGAAGACCATTGGCCTAGAGGTATGTCTGAATGACCAACCAAATGACAGACCAGCTAACGCCAAGGAGCAAAATTATTATTGAGAAGGTACCAGTTGCTCAGCTGGTCAAGAAATTCCTAGCATTTTATGGAACTTGATGGTTCATTACTGTGTTCACAGCAGTCCACTACAGGCCCATATCCTGAGCCAGAGTAATCCAGTGCAGTGCCCCATCCTATTTAAGGCCATTTCAATATTATCCTCCCATCTATGCCTAGGTCTTCCAAGAGTCATATTCCTTTAGGTTTCCCTACTAAAACTTTGTATAAATTTATCTTCTCTCCCATGCCAATGTCTCAGAAATGTAGAGGCAAAAGGTTCAAGATAGGCAATACTACTCACTTTACATTTCCTTAGGGACATGGAAAATTAACAAATTTTTAATTCAATATTTTTTTATGAACATGGCTTTAAATTTTTCGATTATTTTATCCATTATCCTCACATAACTGTGAAAATTAGAAATGTAAGTTTTGAGGTTTTCACAGCAGCGTTTGATGAGACTATTATCTCTTAAGGTCTATCATACAGTTCTGTATGTGAACACCAGCATTTCAGAGGAGCAAGCTGTCTCCATCCTCAAGGTCCTGCGTCCTGCAAAAGGGCTACTTTTACTGTTGACCTGGGCCACATTGTCTCCCCTTGCCGCCTAGAGATCTGAGTAACAAACTTCCTTCCAACCTGCTTACATAACCAAACTGATTCCTCACTCAACTCATGCTAATCCCGAGTATGGATGCAGCATGTTTCTATGAAACATTCATGTCCACCTACAAAATAGCATAGCATCACAATCCAAAAGTCCATAATATGGAAATCACGAATACCCTGCAACATCTACTGCTGGCAGAAGAATCCAGGAAGTCTCCCTTTTCAAGGATGTCTCCTAGGTATCTACTACTTGAAGCTAATGGTGCGCTCTCAAATAAGGTTCAAGCAAGGAAATCATGGCAGGATAACCATTACATCTGATGTGATGAAATTCTATCTATTATATTTAGGTTAAGGAAGTTACTATTTTAGATCTCCTGTTAATACACTTGATTTGTGAACAGCTGTCAGTAACAAGTTGCATTACACCAATGTCAATAGAGTCAATCTTATATGGAGAATGTTATGAGTAAATGACTGTCAGGCAACACGATAGGTGACTATGACACACTGCATTTGTAATTAAACTGATAGGAAATGTCTCAAGTCGGTATACATTTTGAACATTCTCAACACCGACAATTCTTCAACAGTTTCTTAGTCTGTACATGCATAGATTTTGAACAGTTTTGTTGGATGAACATTGCACAGCCACCCAGTGAGTCCAACAACCTAATGTGACCTCAATCATACCTGTTTCATAACTCTGTCTAGTATCTTCTTGTCCACTGTCGGCACCACATTCTTGAGGTATTCCATGATCTCTTCAAAGCTGTCACATGTTAACAGTCCATCCTTGTGCTCCCCCAGAAGAGCCAGTGCAACTCGGAATATTACTTCTGTGTTCTCCAGGAACAACAGATCTGGAGGAAAGAAAATAAAATACATTAGTAGGAATAGGAAAAGTTCTAAAAGTCCAAACCTGAAGCTTCATTTATGGTGGTACTCCAAATTATTCACTAACTGATTTTAGTTAAATTAATTTTAGTGTGGGTATGGAAATAGGAGGCTGGAGAAAACTGCATAATGAGGAGCTTCATAACTTGTATGCTTCTCCAAGCATAATTAGAATGATCAAGTCAAGGAGGATGAGGTGGGTAGGGCATGTAGCATGAATGGGGAACGGAGGAATGTATATAGGATATTGGTGGGAAAGCCGGAAGGAAGGAGACCACTGGGAAGACCAAGACATAGGTGGGTGGAAAATATTAAAATGGATCTTAAAGAGATATGATGGGATGGTATGGATTGGATTGATAAAATTTTTATTAACTTTTGAAACCGTACAATTATTTTGTGTATACCCTGTACATTACATAAAATACTGCGAAACGAAATATATCAGATTTAGGCAATGGTACGTGAAATGTCAAGTATGTGAATAACAAATATATAACACTGAGCATGTGATCATAACACTGGTAAGTTTGAAAAGCTGGAGGTGGAAGACTTCAGACAGTGGACCTGTATGGAAAGTTTATGACATCACAGGCCACTGACCAAATGACTGACCGACAATCCAACCAACCAACCAACCAACCAACCAACCAACCAACCAACCAACCAACCAACCAACCAATCGATCAATCAACCAACAGGGTCTGTTGGTGAGATGCATGATAGCAATGAAGGGTTCTGTAACAGAAGCGAATTTCTTAACTGGCTGAATAACCATCAACTGCTAAGCAGAGATCATTCATGAATAGACATGCTGTTTTAATGCACAAACAGAATAGAACAGAAGAGGGTGGGCATTCAGGAGCTCTTGCGCAACGACCAATTACATCCTGCACAATCCCATTAGTTTGCTCCTGACACTCACTAGGTCCAAAACAAGAGCTCCAAGTACATGTAAGGCTACTTCAATAGCTCCAACACCTGCTACAAGTGGGAACATCACATAATTATGACACGAATATGTAACTTCTAAAATGACAGTTACCCATTAATAGTTCTGTAAGAGAAGGATTTTTTTGTGGTTTACGAAGGTTATTTGGAAAGTAAAGATACAAAGTCCAGAAAGTATTTGTAAAACATTTTTTTTTTTGATTCACTTGTAGCACTTTTACAATACACCTTTATTTATTTTTCAACGTAGTCACCATGGATCAGAATGCATTTAGTGAGCCTGGGAACGAAGTTTTTTTATTCCAGTGTTGAAGAAATCTCCTGCCTGCCCTCATAGCCATGTCATCACCGCATCTTAAAACTCATCATTGTCCAAAAAAGTTTTTCCAGCTAGACTTTCCTTCAATTTAGAAAACAAGTGATAGTTGTTTGGTGCAGGGTCTGGGCTGAGTGGTAGATGGGCCAATACATTCCACTTGATGGACTGCAACAACTCCTGTGTGGTGCAAGCAGTGTGTGGATGGGTGTTATCGTGCAGTATGCAGACTCCCCACATCAACATTCCTCCCTGCTTGTTTTGAATAGCCCGACACAGTTTCTTCAGCGTCTCACAGTAAGCAGCAGCATTGATGGTGTTTCCTCGAGGCAAACAATTGTTGAGAAGTGGCCCCTTCCTGTCGCAGAAGATGGTTCTATGATTTCTTTGTTTGGTGGTAGGGTTTTGAATTTTTGAGTGTGTGTGGCACCACTGCATTGATTGTCGCTTATTCTCAAGTGTGTGATGAGATACCCAAGTTTCATCTCCCGTCACAAGACAGTCCAGGAAGTTGTCACCTTGATCCTTGTAACATGTGAGGAATGCCTGTGTTGCAGCCACTCCAGTTTTCTTGTGATTGTCTGTCAACATTTTTGGCACCCAACGCATGCACAGTTTCTGATAGCCTAATCTTTTTGTAACAAGTTCATGGGGAATAGTTCTTCACACTTCTGGATGCTGTTGATGAAGTTCATCGATGGTTAAATGTCTGTCAGCACGAATATTTTCAGCAATTTTTTGGATAATTTTATCAGTGAAAATGGATGGCCTTCTACTCTTTATTTCATCATGAACGTCAGTTCTTCCAACTTCAGATTCATGACAGCATTTTGCCACGTTCTGCCTGTTCATAACATCTTTGCCGTAAACAGAAAAAAGTTGGTGATGAATTTCAGCAGCAGCTTCTCCTTTCACATGAAGAAATCGATTTACTGCACAGACCTCACATGTGGCAGGATTTTGAATTGACAGAGCCGCTTTAAACACACACTGCGAGCACGACGTTGCCGTGGCTGTGGCCGGTGAAATCTGCCCTGTCATACAGCTCCTATCTCACAAGGCAACATTACCATTTCTGAAAAAAAATCCCTTGCATTTTTACTGAACTTGTATCTTTACTTTCTGGATATCCCTCATACTTTACGATACACTATGCAGACCTAACAGTGCTCAATGATAGGATAACAAATAAATAATGAACTGCAAAGGATTTGAAAGCAAGAAACTTCAGTCTAATAAGTTATTTCCAAGAATATGCCTGGAGGAAATGAGGAAAATCACTAAAAACCTCCTGTCAACATAGAAATGTCCTGCATTCGAATTAGGCACCCCTTGAATACAAGCCTAGAATGCCATGGCTACTCCAACCCTCTCTGAATCACAGACTTCAATGGCTCCTATTTAGCTAAAGTAGTTCCCCACTTCTATTTTGTAAAGGTTCTGGAATAAGGAACTTTATGTTTCTGTCAGGCTATATATTTCCAGCATTCCTGGTACCTTCTATTTCTCCTGATAATAATAACACTTTCATGCAGATGCCACTGAGAAGTAACAACTTACCAAAAACCCTGGTAACAAACCCAAGAGGGAACTGTGAAGCAAATAGAGTGAGTATCCAGGGGGCTGCATACAGAGTGGGGGCCACTTCGTGCTTGTCAAAGTGGAGATACAATTCAAGGTGCTGGTCGTGCAGAAGGCGTGACAGTTGGTACAACTGCACCTGCAGTGCTGTCATGTCAGGAAGGTACTGTCGTCGCAAGCCTCGCCGGAACATCAGATGGCGAAGTAAGAAGAAGGCTGATTCTTCAGACATCTGCAATATAATGATTCACATTAGAAACATTTTGTGTTTCTTGAGAAACCTGTCTTGTATGATCAGCTGGTCAGGATACTATCCACTCACATGTAGCAGCAACACTCCAGCTACAAAGCTCAGTCCCTGGCAATACCCAACCTCAGGGTCCAGGAGTGAGTATGCCTTCAGCAGGTTGAACAGGGCCAGCTGTCCAGGTCCCAGTGGAGATGAGAAGTAATGGCAATTGGGGAATGTACGTCCTGCAGAGTATCAGAGAACACAACTCCAAGTGAAATGGTAATAGATTAGTAAGTAAAATGGCAGTACACAAGCTGAATCACTGGATGTAAATTTCCATCAGAGGCACTGCCAGATTTATCATTACCACAGTCAGGAATATCATCTCAAACCATCTCTTGCCTTAATGCATGCCCTTAAACCCACTCTTACTCATTTCCCTATCAGAAATTTCATCTCTATGCAGTTAATTTCACACACAGGGCTCTGGTGACAAGGTTATGAAAGCACAGCCATTACAGCTGGTATACAGCAAATGCCACTACTATTTGGACCAAGCTGAAGACTATGCCATGGCATATTACATCTGGAAATGCCATCACCATAATTTTGGTCCACTTACAGTTCAGTTATAAAATCAGGATTTGATCTGTTTAACATTTATAAATTATGCATGTATTTTGGGCTGCACCATAGCTCAAGCAGTTATTCGCTGGCTTCCCACTGTGGTGGCCTGGGTTCGATCCCGGGTCTGGTCAAGTGGGATTTGTGGTGGACAAAGTGGAGCTAGGGCAGGTTTTCTCCGAGTACTTCGGTTTCCCCTGCCAATCTTCATTCCACCAATTGCTCCACAATCACCCTCACCTATCATCTGGGGCTGGTACAACAGGCCAAAAGTGGCCGCAGTACAAGGGACTTAGTCCTACCCCACTAGCAATAATAAAAAAAAATAACAATGCATGTATTTTGCAGCTGTGCTGCTGCTCTAATGTTCCAATACTGCTGTGCTTAAGTATGCTTTATTTGGAGACAGCTACTTGAATTCTGTCCACTCTCTATACAGACGTATGTTAAGTTTTCTGCTGTCAGTCTTTTCTAAACATCAAACTTATCACGTTTAACGTTAACAGTTATAAATAGCCAATACATATCTGTTGATTTTAAATCTCTTAACCCTTTCAGGTCATTGCATTATTAGAAATTTCCGCAGCCAGGATGTGAAGGTGTTTTAAATGCCTGAAGAGCCACTAAGTGAACGCTTTTGCTCAAGGCATTGGTGCAACAAGGGTATAAAGTGAAAAAGAAATAAAGTGCCTGTTGTGTGACATTTTCAAATGTCCAATTCTTGGGCCAGCTGAACACTACTACAATATCTGCCAGTGAAAAGGCATACGACACACTGAGTCCTAGTCTGTCCACCAAGGAAAGAAATGTTCTTTAAGTGAACGGTTTTTCTGAGTATGGCAAATCACACACGTCACCTGTAGCGTGGCATGAGTGACGAAAATAACGGGTTCTAGATTGGATGATTTGATTTATCAGCACTTATCTCTCTTAATTAGTTAGTGCAGCGCCACTGCTGTTTCTGCACTTTGTAATTCACTGTCACACAGACAGTAGGATTCACAGTTTGCCATAGTTGTCTCCTAGAAATGGATCCCAGTACAAAAACTAGCACTTCAGATCACTATGAAGCCTTCTTGTTATTTCGTCTTCAATCACTCTGTACTCCTCTGTCATAATCTGTACTCAACAAATCTTCACAATTCATGCTCCATTCTTGTCCTTGCACTCTCAACTGTTGAACCTTCCTGGACTCCGCATTAACTTAAGTCAAGCCAAAGTCAAAGTTACAGTGTGACTGACGGTCAGTCAGTCGGTTATTCTTGGTGTCAAGCCCCCATCTGGGGCTAACTGCCAGATATTTATCACTGTCCGACAGTTACGGTCTTGTTTTTGTGGGGCATCCTCTCTGATGACAGGATGGGTCTGTCTTTTGTATATGCTGCTGACCCTTGCCAGCGCAGTCTTTCTCGAGTCTGAGTCCCTCGGCACTCATGACCATATTTTACTGTCTCAGATTTGTGACTTCCCTTTCCGTCGCCTCCTATGACTCGCAGGGTCAGGGTGGAATTATTCAACCCCACCTCCACACGGGTTATTAACTTAAGCTTAAACATATCTTCATTATATAGTCGCCACATGGACAACACAAAAAACAAAGTCACATAATAACTAGTACTATTGGAGTGTGATCTTATTGCACCCACATGAAAGTCCTTTGCCGAGCTGTTGTGTAGAAGTGGGTTGCATAACCTCATTCCATTGTAGCATGCGTGTCTCTTACCATCTGTTACCTAGTAACACTCTAGCCATCAAAGTTACTATATGGAATTATACTGTGGATATAACCAGTGTCACCGTCAGCTAATACAAATAATCCGATGCCCCACTTTGTCGTTTTATTATTATTATTTTTTTCTAATTATACGAGGGTTGGAACTTTAATGGTGGCAACTATTTATTTACAACCGATACAAAATAGATGCATGTTTCAAAGTTTTACTGTCCTTCAATGTAGTCACCATCATTGTGTACAACCCGCTGCCAGTGATGCAGAAGCCGTAGGATACCTTCAGCAGCGCCTGTTGTGTTCATACTTTGAATGGAGTGGTCTACTGCCTGACAATTCTCTGGAATAGTTCTGAAGCGGAAGCCACGAAGTGGTTCCTTCATCTTAGGAATCAAGTCAAAGTCACAAGGGCTAAGTCCGGGGAGTATGGTGGATGGTATAGCACTTCCCAGCCTCAGTGATTCAACAAATCAGTCACAGCTTGCGCTGCATGCGGCCGAGCATTGTCCTGCAAAATGATGGGTGGGTTCTGCAGAAAGTGTCGCCGCTTCTTTCTCAAAGCTGGTCACAGATTGTGTTCCAAAAATGAACAGTAATACTGCGCACTGACAGTCTGCTGTCGGGGAAAGGTATGTGTTAGGATAACACCATCACAGTCGTACATGAGAACCACAATAACTTTCACATTGCTGGGGTTCTGACAAACGTTTGATTTTTGTGGTGACCTGTAATGACGCCATTCGTTTGAGTGGCGTTTCATTTGTGGCTCCTACGATTTTGCCCATGTCTCATCAAGAGTAATGATAAGGCATAAGAAAGCCTCTCCTTAGCGCTCACAGCGCTTCAAGTTCTTACAAGCAGTGTCGTATCGTAGCCATTTCTGCAATTCCATCGANGGCCTCTGGCACATTCAATCTTTATCCAACTCCGTTGATCCTGTTTCAAAAACATCGTGGCAACACTACATTAGACCGCCAGCTAACACGAGACTCTGTTCTTCTCATCACTGTGCATGCACGTGATGTGGGAAGGGAGAGTCCATTTGCTCTGAGGTAAGGTAGGTATGTAACTAACGTGTGGTATAAGCGACATTAATTGGTTCCATTGCATGGTGTCTCTACAGCAGTGCTGCCACTATTAAAGTTCCAAAACTAGCAAGTTTTGAAAATTATTTTGCTCTTCAACCCAACTGTTGATTCATCTATTGCAATGTTTATACCTGGCACAAAATAGTTCTGAAACTGTTTCTCTATATATTCTATCACCCCATGTACTTCCTTTGTTCTTTTGAGGGCCTCACTGCTTCCTTCGGTGGTATCATTTTCCACATGCATCCTCCAATGCACCTGTAAAAAGCGATCACTAGACATTACATCACCAAGAAGCTTTATCTGTTGTCCGCTCACTAGACCAGTAGTCTTTTATATCGGGCAATGAGATTAGGCCCATCTTTATAGTTAGGCCTACAAAAGCCTTCATTTCAGGAACAAACATATCAGACCAGCTACTTCAAATGGACCTAGGGCTTAGCTCTGTGTCTAAGCTAAATGAATAACAGCTTGTGTCAGAACTCCAGACTTCTTGGCCCTTTCAGAATCCAGAAATTTCCATATAAACACCGTATTGCATGTCCAAGACAATGGAATATAATATTATAGATCACGATAAGGTTCCAGTAATATCAGAATATAAGCTTTTGAATTTAAAATTACCGAGAATAAATTATAAATGAAGTTCCCAATCATGTATAATCACCAAATAAACTAGAACTAGGACTGATCAGCATCAGTTGAAGTTCCACAATTTTGTCTCTTGCATACATCTTTGTCTCTGTAACAATATTATTCACTAGCGCATCACTGAAAAAATAAACTGAAATGGTCCATGGGCTCTGCATCTGGTAGAAGGTTAAATTGTGATCCTGCATTTTTAGTAAATGTGTATGCCTTGAGTTTCCTGTTACCCACTGTCATGTCTTCCCAACCTTTAACAAGCATAACATTTGTTTCATTCTCGTTCTCACTTTCCAACATTTCATTGCTGGATTCTTCACTCGCAGTTTCTCCTTCAGTTTCCAAATGCATCTCATCATGAAAGTCAATATCAAGTCCTTCATTTAACATATCACTAATAGATCCTTCATCCACATCACACAAGGGATTATATTTGTTTTTTGAAGCCAGAAGGGCCAGGTTTGCTGGAACATAAAGCCATTTTGCTAATATGTGACATGCCATAATTTATAAATTTCATTCATTCCTCAAGAAGTTAAAATTATGATTTTCAGATGGCAGACAAAACATTAATGAATGCATTGGCACAGTATAGAGTGACCATTAGCTAAATATGATCGACAAATGACCAGAGAAAAGCGAATGAAACTTTGTCGATCACATACCAACATTTGTCCATGGAAGCACTGCCACCGTGTTGATTATATATCGACATATGACCGGAAAGGGTTAATGAATCAATTATTGCAGCTCAGTACATAGCCTTCAGGAACACAGCCCTGAAGTGAGCAGTGAAGGGGTTATCAGTTAAAGTGCAACCCAGAAATGAATGAATGTTGAAACACACAAGAGTCTCACCTAAGTCTATGAGGATGCCATGTTGGTGGGAGGTGAGCTGTCGCAGTAGGTTCTCATATGGAACGTGATAATTAGGGAACTTGCTTGTATCTATTGGTGCAACTTTCAAGCAATACTGCTCCGCTAAGAAGTGCCAAACATCCCCTCGCTTACTACGTGGAACTCCTGCAAACATCAACAATCTTGTCAAATAAGCAGTTCATGAAGAAATTATAAGCCTAATGTATTCATCAGTTTTTAGCCTTGACTGAATATTATGTCACATGCAAATCTTTTATCTTTCCATCTGATATACAAACATAAACTTAAGCTACACAAAACTGATTTACCTCTGTTTCTCACATTAAGGCAAAGACAGACTGAAGGCATTTGAGAGCAGGGAACCGAGGCGAATATTTAGATATGAGAAGGCTGAAGAAAAGTGCGCAATGAAGAACTCTATAATGTGTACTCATTGTGAAATATGATCTTGATCATCAAACCAAGGAGGGTGATATGAGTGGGACAGGTAGCATGAATGGGAGAGAACAGAGATGCATGTAAGGTTTCAGTTGGAGAACCTGAAGAGAGGACACAACTTGGAAGATATAGTTGTAGATGGGAGGGCAGTATTAAAATAGGCCTTAAAGGAGTAGGATGCAATCACCTCACATTACTCTGAAGAGGAACTTTCAAGTTCCATAGAATAAAAGGAACCTCTTGCCTACTCAGGATACTAGCAGCTTCTCAAAGAGAAGGACTCACTTGCAAAGGTTATATACTTTCAAATAAGGATGTGATAGGATGGTCATGAATAATCAGTTATGCAGAAGTCTATTCCAAAGCATTAACCTGAGCAAGAGAGACAAGAGTCAGGCACGTGGCATTCAGACATGCAGGCAGAGTGAAAACATTACAGCAAGATGTTCAATTTCATGCAAAGAAAGCTGTTTCTCCATCTGAGGATGTGCAGGGTATGACACACCTCAAACCCTCTCCCGCCTCTACGCAGACTGTAAATCACAGATTGCAAGCTCACTGTTTTACAGATTATCAGTGACTGAAAAACTGAGAAGTAAGACAAGGCTGGCTGAATTTGATTTTTTAAGATGTCTTCAGATGGCAAACAAAAACTGAGTGAGGAATGAAACATCATGGGAAGATGTGAATATTTCTTCATCAGTGATAAGGGTGGTATAGCCATGTTGAATGAATGGAGGAGGATGGATTGCCAAGAAATGTGTGGCAATGATCACTACAAGGAAGATGAGGAAAACTTTCATGTAAGCAAAAAATATATATTAACATTTAGCATACAAGAGGGACTATCATTCTCATTAAGCGTAATTTAAACTTGCTTACTGGAAAAACAATTGCCTGTTCTGTCATGCTCTTTTTAAAAATGATCTGAATTTCCGTGACTAGAAGCTTACTGACTTTGTCTCTTTAAAATGTTTCTTTAGAACACAGCCATGATCACAGCCTCTTTTTTTGTACTTGAATTGTCTGCTTCTACGGGTTATTTTGTTTGATACCTCATCTCTATGTGCCACAAAATACTTAAAAAACATTTAGTTCTGTCCATGCAGCCATTCCTATGTTTTTGTCTTATAAAGTGTAAAAATGAGACATATCTAAAGACACTTCAGAAAACATCTTGGCTTATCTCGGCAACCTTTTCATATGGAATATACTTCGTTAGCCCCTTATTTCACCAGTACTTTGTTACTGCAGAAATATTATGATAGCACAGTGACAGTGGTATTATTGTGTATTCCAATTATTCCAGTGTGATATCTTCAGAAATAACCTTTTTTACAGTACAGATTGAAAGGACTAGTATACAACCCCACACTGCAGTGTGGACATTAGAATTCTGTCTCCATTTCTGTATTTTTCACAGAACACACATGATACCAAATTCATCTTCCTTCCAAGGGCCAATATTAGCTGCATCATAAGTCACATCAGGTCAGCTGGCTGTTGGAAGGGGTCTGACATCCCCATGGAGTTGTCTGTAGTTGAAACACCCTTCCTCACTTGTATCAGGACCCTGACCAACACATGTCTGAAACGTTGGTGTGATAATTTTGAACTACAAGTGAGGAGAATAAAACCGTTCAGAACTGGGAGGTCCAGGAGATGCATACAGCTTTCTGTGTGTCAGTCATATGGTCAGATTGGTCCACATATCCCATGTGTCTGTTATGAGTCTTTTACTGCGCTCATTTCAGAGAATTTCTATGGTCATCAAAAAGATTGCCCTTTGCTGGAGAACGGTGCATATTTGTCAACATGTTCACATTTTGTTTGCCTTTCCACACTAATGCTGTCAAGTCTTTATGCCACTCCATTTCATTTTCAGTTTCTCTCCAAAATCCTTATGCATTCTTGATTTGATCTGACAACACCAAAATTGTTTATGGTTTTGGTAAGTAAATGGTCATACAATTATGCATGGAGAGGTTACTCCCCACATTTTCTATCCTTGCAGTCAGTTCTATCACAGTTGTAAGAGTGACTGCCACACATTTCCTGTCTTTGCATAAATACACAAGTCATATTGTATGTACATCTCTTAGAATCATATGAATGCCACATTTCCACCCCAAACCATTTGTGTTTCTTGGGTATACATTCACTGGCCATATCTTTGAAAAGCACAATGATTTCACTGACTGCTAAAAGTTCAATTGGACTCCAATGTCAAGAATACGCATCATTAAGCTTTCAAATATAGTTCTTCTTTTTCACAACTGATTTATCAGTTATCAGGTTCACTTGTGTTGTCACCAAAGTGCAGAAATCCCAGCATATAAAAGAATCCGTTTGTCACTGTTTTCCTGTAAAAAGACTAACAAACTGACAATGATATGCCTCACAACAATTCTCAACACAAGAGTGACAAACATGACGCATTCAGAATTCTATTATCATATAAAGCTCTGTCCTAACAATTCTGGCATGTATTTCCCATAATCAAGAAAGGGAAAAAAGCGCAAACAGAGTCAAATTAATTGCATATCAATATAAACAGAAATGCATATATAAAGGTGGCTGTTTAAAAATTGTGTACATTCGTAAATATTAACAACCCAGTTTACAGCTCAATTTAACAGCTTAAAAACCCTATTAAATACAAATTCTATTATGACACACTGCAGAATTGAGCCATTCAATCCAAAAGCTTTCTGGTCATGAGTAAGCACAAACAAATTTAAATACTGTATGCTAATGGTTATGCCCTTATGGAAGATGAAGGTATGGAAGAATGTGACTGGGAGAACAGATAACTGTGGAAACTGAAGATGATACAAGCTAGAAAAGGAAAACAACCACAGATGAAATTAATTTAATCTTGTACTTTTTGATCTGCTTAATATTTGTCAGTGAGGTTGCATCTAGCAGGACATGCGTCTCACCTTGCCTGATGGCTTGAAGCAACATTTTGGAGTCACACTGGGTTGAAACACGACTCTCCTTACTCACCAGGAGGTCCCACACCTCCATTACCTCTCGCACACATGAGCCGATCTCATCATAATTCAACTTGATGCGCTTCATTGTTGCTTCTTCCTGTCGGGCTGCAAACATAGCAAGTTGATGAGGAAACAACTGATATGCAAAATTCATTACACTATAACATCAGCCAAATAATTCCAATAATTCCAAATAATTGACTCTGATTTATACTTATTTCAAGTTTAACAGCTGGAAACCTAAATCTCATCTGTATAACGTTTAAAAATCCGGTTCTACCTCATACAAAACACACCAAGTATATATTACAAAAACAAATTGGTAAATGGCGATTATGGAAATATCATGTCTAAAACATTTTTGAGGGTGATTCATCATCAGATAGTGAGACAGCTAGTTTAATCATTAAAAAGTTACCCAATCCTGTTTTCAATATTTGACAGGAAGCAAAAGTGCCAAACAAGACATCTGTGGAAAACAATGGACTTCCCTATTTTAGGTATGTCATATCCTCAAAAATGACTCAGACATGATACAAAGGCTATTTACTTTCAGATTCAAATGTAACACACAAATATGCTAAGACATCTGTGGAAAACAATGGACTTCCCTATTTTAGGTATGTCATATCCTCAAAAATGACTCAGACATGATACAAAGGCTATTTACTTTCAGATTCAAATGTAACACACAAATATGCTAAGACATCTGTGGAAAACAATGGACTTCCCTATTTTAGGTATGTCATATCCTCAAAAATGACTCAGACATGATACAAAGGCTATTTACTTTCAGATTCAAATGTAACACATAAATATGCTGGGTGCTAAGAAAGCACAGACTTTTAACACTAAAGCAAGTCATTCATATAGTTACCACTATGCTTTAAAGGATTAAAATGTATTGCTTGAATGACTAATATTCTTTATTGGACTTGAAATGGTTTAGAATAAAGTCCAATGTGAGCAGTATAGCAGTGTTACATGTGTGGGTTCCAATTCTAGAAATGAAACAGGCCCATGTTGAGGCTGTGGATGTCATTGGAATTGGGATGGATTACACCCACAAACTATTGTGTTAGCAGTTCTTAACAACTTGGTCATACCACCAGAGCATGGGTATATTAATTAGGTTAATTGTCAGAAGAGGATTTGGTTTAAATAAATCTGGCCAGATTCCAAAACCAGACTCCTGTGTTAGCATTGCTCATTCACTCATGGAGCTGAGCCCTTCTTGAGAAGCCGCCAATTGCGCAGGTACTCAAGAACTTCCCAGCATTTTATGCAACCCGAATGTTCATTACCGTGTTCACAAGAGCCCTCCACTGGTCCGTATTCTAACCCAGATCAATCCAATCCATCCCATCCCACCCTATCTCTCTAAGATCCATCTTAATATTGTCCACCCCATACGTCTTGATCTTCCCAGTGGTCTCCTTCCTTCTGGCTTTACCACCAATATCCTATACGCATTCCTTGTTTCCCTCATTCGTGCTACATGCCCTGACCACCTCATCCTTCTTGTCTTGATCATTCTAATCATACTTGCAGAAGAGTACAAGTTATGAAGCTCCTCATTATGCAGTTTTCTCCTGTCACTTCATCCCTCTTCGGTCCAAATATTCTACTCAACAGCCTGTTCTCAAACACCCTCAGTCTATGTTCCTCCCTTAATGTCAGAGACCAAGTCTCACACCCATACAGAACCACAGGCAAAATTATAATTTTGTATATTCTACTTTTTATGTTTTTGGACAGCAGACGAGAAGACAAAAGGTTCTGGACTGAATTGTAGCAAGCTTTACCCAAAATCAATCTCCTTTTAATTTCCTCCTGAGATTTATTATAGTCGTTTCCAAATATCTGAAATGTGCCACATTATCAAAACAACTGTTAGCTATCTTTCTGTCATGATCCTTCCCTGCATTTTGGTGACGAGACAGCAGCATATACTTACTTTTCTCTGTTCACTTCTAGACCAACCCCCTTACTAGCATTGCTGAACATTTAAATTCTAGTACCAGAAAGTTCACTCCTTAGCACAGGGGTCGGGGAACTTTTTTACTTATTACCCCAAAATATATTTATTTACGCCGACGTTACCCCCTTGATTTGAAAGAGAGAAAATCATAGATTATTATTCAGATTCAAAAGCTTTATTGAATCTATTTATATGGAGAATACAATTATAAATATAAAAAGTATAAAATAAATGTGATAAAATACGAGTAAATTAATATCCTCATTATGAAACAAAAGGATTTCTTAGAAAATTTTTTTCACTTCAGGTTTTGGAGAAATGATGTTTCATTTTTGATACAATAACATCAAAATTGGGACATTTGATGTCAGAGCAATTTGCATACTGTCTTCGGGGTCCAATCGATTTCTCTGCTTTGTTTTTATGTTCAGTAGAGTGGAAAATCCTTGTTTGCAAAGGGCAGCAACTTTTTGACTGCCTCCTCATGTGCAATTTTGAAAGCATTTGCAGCTCTTGACATCCAAAAATATGACAGATCTGCTTTGTTTTCAAATTCAATACGTGCTTCATTATTGGATCGAAGTTCAAGAAGTGCCTCTGCCAAACCTTGAGGCTCTTCTGGTACATCAGCAATTTCACATTTAAAGGGATCTACAACCCAACTGACATTATGTGAATCAAGATCTGGAAAGTAATCATCGAACCGCTTTTTGAGTTTGGTAAGATGCCTTATAACTGTGTCCTTGATGTCGTCAAAAGTAATATTTTCACAATCTTCCAAAAACAAAGCCAACCTTGAAAAGGCAGCAATCTTGTTTTGTTCTGCTTTCTGTCTCCAATATACTCGTAAAAGCTTTGATCCAAACGCTATCGTCCACAACATGCTGGGTGCGTTTATCTATAGAAGTGTTTAGTGATGACGTCACGCTGCCATGATGGACTCAAACAATTTCCGTAGCAGCCGTTGTTATGGATGGTTATATGCGGGAAGAAAATTTTCTGTCATAACAAGGAACGCGTTTTTTTATACAATTTCATTTATGTCTATTGAGTCCTCATTACTCCCAAGAATTTCATTTTTACCCCACTTGGGGTAATTTACACCGGTTCACCGACCACTGCCTTAGCAGATGACAACATTAATCAGTAACTCTGTTTCTTTGTGCACACAAGCATAACTCGGTATTTGCAATGGACATATTCCTGGGATGACTGGAAATAAGGTCATGGGCTCCTGATAAATATACAGTAGAACCGCAATTTAATCTCCCCTGATTTAAGGTTGTGCTATCATCTAATGTTCAGTTTCAATGATCCAGAGCCATGAAACTCAATTTATGACTTTCATCTGCTAGAGTGTTCAAATTCACTGCTCCCAAATGAAATTTTAATGCACATTCAATTGTACATACGCCTTCTCTCCTAATGGTTTACATTTCCCGTTACACTTCTAATATACCTTTCTTTTGGAAGGCATGAATGTGTTGAAATTATGAAACAAAAAGAATGCTATATAATGGTAAGCCAAGGACTAAGGTGGACTGTAAGATACTGAGAAGGTGCAGAAAGCTTGCATAGATCCAACCATGGGAAAATTTTTAAGAAAATGTGTGATCTGTTGGGACCTCAAACCATATATAAAGAAAATAGCAATTATAGGGTTTGTGAATATGGGGATATGATTGTAGATTTCTAATTTATTTTGTGATCACTCATCATGCAATTCAATACTAAAAAAAGCAGTGGTTAGTCATTCAGTTGTAGGAATGGAAAGAGGCAGGCCACTGATGCTGCAGCCCCAAGTGTGCCTACTGTTATCAGCTGATAACAGATGAATATGGAGCTTTGATGGAGGGGTAACTGGCAAGGAAAACTGACAAATGCAGAGACAAATCTGCCTCAGTGTGACTTTATCTATCACACACACCACATGAACTACTGTGGGACTCAACCCAGTTCCCTAAGGGGAGGGGCTGGTGACTAACAAGCTGAGCTAGGCATTCTAAGGTATGTGACACACACCTCGCAGCCTTGCATTTTCCTTCTCCATGCGTATAAGCAGTAGCTGCTGGTTGATGGCTTTCTTCCACAAGGCACGCAGTTCATCTCGATCTCGCTTCACTGGGCGCTGTTTTGGAGTGACTTCACCCAGGCCCCGCTCTGCTAGAACAAAAAAAGCAAGCATGAAGGGCTGTCATACACTCTCCTAGTTTCATGTCAAATTTGCTCTAGTGATAAAATCTCAGGTGAACAGCCATATCATTCCAGAACAGAAGTCCAGTGTTTTGGTGATTTTTCTGTGTCCCCATCATCAGGGAATGGCATACTGGGTGAACAGTTTCATTCAAGAAACTGACACATATTTTGTATATTTCTCATTGTCTGCTTTTGGTGAGTTTTAGAAGATGGCTCTGCTTCCATCATAGGTAAATGTATGAAACATATTCCACTAGGTCCATTAGGTGGAGTTAATTTTTATTCCCAGAAAACAGCAGTACAAGTCAGTGTATATAGTGTTGTTCACCCACAGGGTCTTTCTAAAAAAAATGTTAGGTTTAATTACATATAATTATCTAACTACATATCAAACATCACTGTATTTGATGTCTCTGATTTCAGGAGTCCTGGAAGAATATGCTGCCCCTGGTGGCAATGCCATGAAGCAGTGATAAAGATGGCATGCTCAATAGAACAGCATGTATTTTTAATGAAAAGATTTTACCAGACTGCTAGTATTACCACGAATCAACATGAATTCTTAACAAAATTTGAGTGCAAGAAAGCAGCAAGCATGTCTGCAACAAACAGATCACCTAACAAGTCTGAAATGACTGGGGGCATGACATACCATAAAAGGGATGTTGATGGTAATAAGTCTATCAGAACACCAGAAAACATTCACTGTGCTCAGCAAGCATTCATGCAGAGTCCCAGGAAATCTGTAAGATGCTTTTCTCAACAACTCAACTTTGGAGCATCAACACAGAAAAATTTGAGAAGATTTGCAACTGTTTCTGTACAAAATTCAAATGCAGAAAACCCTTCATGAGGCCAATACAGCCATGAAAATTTATGTCTTTATGGCTTTAAGAATTTTTTTCAATGATATTGTGACAGCTGATCATTATTTCCATGTTCCCAAGAATTCATTCCCTTTCTTCAAGCGATGGTCGTCAATTTCATAGAAACAGTCTTGCAATAGGATGGGGCTTGGCCACATATNGAATTTTTTTCAATGATATTGTGACAGCTGATCATTATTTCCATGTCCCCAATGAAGAATTCATTCCCTTTCTTCAAGCGATGGGCGTCAATTTCATAGAAGCAGTCTTGCAATAGGATGGGGCTTGGCCACATACTGTGACTGAAGTGATGGATGTGCTCAATGAACATTCTGATGACAGAGTTCTGTCGGACCATATTCCTGAATTGTTCCAATATGGCTGGGCCTGGCCACAACAGTCTCCAAATCTTAGCCCATGTAGCTATATCTTTAGGGCTTTCTGAAAGATAAACTTACACAGATAATCTCCACATAATCCAAGAACTCAAACAAAATTTTTGGCAGCAGCGAATAGCATCAGTGAAGAAACTCTGCTAGTTGTGCAAAAATTTCCTGTATAAGCTGCAGATGATATGGATGCCTATGATGCGGTTACTAAAAATGTGTTTACATGACTGCCAATTTCCCAAGACTACTGAACTCAAACACAACAAATACAGTGAGGTCTGCTATGCAGTTAGTTAATTACAACTTCTGTCCACAAAGTTCCAAGACTGAGTCTGTAAAAAGTACAAAGTTCAACTTATTAACTAATGGTTCCTGTCCCCTTCAAAGCAGTCCCCTCTGCAGTTAATATGCCCCTGCCACCGTTTGGGTAAGTCCTGGAAGCAGCTGGTGAATGCCACTTTCAGAATGGTGGTGAGCTTCGTTGTCGCAGCCGCTTGAATAGCCTCTATATTCTGATGATGCTGTCCTTTTAGTAGCTTTTTCAGTTGTGGAAACAGAAAAAAAAAATCACATGGAGAGAGGTCAGGGAATTATGAGGGATGTTGAAGCATAGTCACTCTGTGTTTAGCAAGAAAACTGTTGACATTTAGAGCTGTGTGTTGACTCGGATTGTCATGCAACGAAGTCCACTGTCCAGATGCCTATTGGTCAGAATGATGACATCAAAGTGCCTCGCGCATGTGTCTCACGGCAAGACAGACCCAACCAGATGAGAGTGGAACCCGAAATGGAACATCAAGAGAACATGGATGCCAATCTAAAGGAAGATGACCCGTTGTGTCAGAGTGGCATGGCACAAGAGGAACAAAGCCAGAAAAGATTGTAGCAGGGCCAGTGTGGCACAAAAAATCCGGAGAGGACAGACATTCAGGAGATGTCAGCCAAAACTGGAATGCAGCAAGGGCATAAGGAGCTGAGATGTAGAGGAGCCTCTACATCCGAGGAAAGGGAGGAAAACCGCCAACACTATCGGAGGATGGAGCAGAAGACAGCAGCCACAACTGGAAAAGAAGAAATCTAACAAGATTTGACAGGAAGACGTTGATATGGGGGAAGACCAGGGCAGAGATCAGATCAGTGATCAGCAAGAGGAGAACCAACAGAAACCTTCATGTGGGCTAGTTACGAGGAGCATTAATGTGTGTCCATTGTTTGCAGTTCTGAAGTGTTATAATTATCATGTGGGATAACTGTCTGTAGTTCCACTGGCTTACTTATCTGATAAAACAGCTCCATTAAATCTGTAATCCGTTAATTATTTTTCACGGATACATGGACATGTGACAATATTATTGAAAAACCGGGATAAATTTACAATGCTTATGGCATCTCTATACAGCCTCAGAACTCATTAAACAAAGAGAGAATGAATTTGATCTAACAACAGTACCATGAAAGCAACTAAGTCAAAATGCTCTACAAGTTATGGTCTTAGTGGATTTGCCACAGTAACAGCATAATGATATAGGGTACTTATCTTCCTATCATCATGGCCACAGTCTACACACATATTATCAGCCTCAATATGATGCAGACCACAATAAAACTTTACACGCCCATCAATCAGTCTCACTGACATCAAAATGACCCAGAGGCCTGCTGTCTCCTACCCAAGAGGTAAGGAGGCACTGTCTCTCCTACACAGCTGAGCTGTCATCATACAACTACCCCATTGGTATCCAAAGGACAGAGGTGCCTACCTACACCAGCCCATAAATGTGGAGGGATGTTAGATAACATGGAATGAAGGGGGACAAAAGAAGACCCATAGCTAAGAGCATATACAAAAGAAAAATACTGGATAGAAATATGCAACATTATATCAGCTCATTGCTCTTTAATCTGGAAAGCTGGATCACAGTAGACAATCTGGCATTGTCAGGTCTGGTGCATGAGTCATTCTGGTATAAACAGTATTATCTGCAGTGGAAATTATGAATATGTCCAATGGGTGATTTTAAAGCTAGCACAGAAATGTGTTTAAGGAAGTAACAGCAGCAGATGCTGAGGAAGAATGAGGAGGAGGGAGGGGGAAGAGAGGGTAAAGTCACAACTGCTAAACAATTTGTTTAGTTTTATGAGATCTAGCAGTTAACTTGCTGAAGTTTATGAAACTGATTACACTTTGAACCACAATGGGCTATGCTGTCAGCAGACAAAAATAAATCTAATGTTGTAAGTTTTGAGGTTTTCACGGCGGTGACTATGAAGAAAGCAGTCTTCTGGGATGTGGCACCATGTAGATGTGGTGTTAACCAACGTTCCTCCGAAATGTCGGTTAACACCACATCTACACGGTGCCACATCCCAGAAGACTGCTTTCTTCAAATCTAATGTTATAATGCATATATTCTGATACGTTGTCACCATTTCAAACCCTTCTCTGTCCTATTTCTAATACGAGGAATTGGCTGCTTACCGGATAAGTTCTTGCTAGGTGTCACAACCCTATTGAAGATAGCCTGGCGCCAAGATCCAGACTGCCTCATCACATTCTGGTTCAGTTCCTGCGTTGGTGATGTTTTTGAGGTGTGGCCAACTTTCAGGAATCTGTTCATAAAATCATTGCCAAAAATTTTTTTTTTAGTCTCATGCTCTTACACAGAACTGCCTTGCATGTGGGAAGTACCTGATCCGAGCTGGGGCTGGTTTGTGCCTGAGGAGCAGCAATCCTAAGTGAGCATTTCTACAGTCTCTCAAATCTGTATATAATGACCATTTCCTTCCAAAGTTTTCCCTGCCTGACACCAACAAATCATACTGAAAGCTATATAACCTTTCAAGCTAAAACAGCATTGTAAAATTACTCAGTACTTGACAAATCTATCATGCCTACACACTGCATGAGACAATGCAGATCTCTAATGCTATTATCATGAAATTTCTCATTCTTTGCGGTGTTCTGCTCATGTAGAATTAATTGTAAAAGATTATTAAAAAAACAGTTAAACATGATCCTGTATGATTAGAGCTCTCTGGGATATGATGCCACATAGTTTGGTAGAACATACCATGTTTCAGAAGAAACTGCTGTCTTTATCTTCAGAAACCTCTTCCCTTCCTCAGATGGAAGGAGCAGGTTCCATCAAAACATAGGTACCTAGCTACCTAACTACTGCATACCAGATGATCACAATTTTTATTATTTACTGGTGTCATAACCTCAGAGCTGATGCACAGAATCTGTATGCCACTATATGCTGCAGAGTATTCACACCATCTTCAGCTGATCTCCAACTGTGAGTTTCAATTGACAAATGTGATGATGTATGACCACCTCTGTGACCTAGTGGTCAGAGTTCCTGGCTATGGATCCAGAGGTCACAGGTTCAATTCCCGGCACTACCAGATTTTCTGAGAAGTAGTGGATCTGGAACAGGGTCCACTGAGCCTTGAGAGGATAAATGAGGAGCTATTTCATGGAAATGGTGGCTCCAGTCTAGAAAACCAAGATTAACGGCTGTGGGGATCTGTTGTGCTGACCATGTGACACCCTCTCTCCGCAAAAGTTGGTACTAACTTTGCTGACAAGCGGCGGTTGCTCGGTTGGTACAGTTCGCTTGCAGACTACAGGCTACGGAGTTTAATCCGATGATACAAGTACACTTATCAATAAAACTTTGTCTTAGTTTCCAGCATTATTTCTCTTTATGTGCACATTATTTGTAAAACATGTTATCATTCCCCTAATTAAAAACCCTGCAAAAATAAAGTATATACAAGTTCAGAAGGTTTTTCTCCTTTCCCATATATTCCTGATGGTTATGTATTATCACTACCACTTCCCATATTATTCTGTTTCCAGTAATTAATGTTCACTAGCCATGCATCACAATACTTAAAGGTGCATGTGCTTCATCCATCTGGCTAACCACTGCATTTATTACATAAAATCAGTTACCCTAAAGCTAAAATATGTCTGCCTGCCAAGCAGAAGAGGAAGATTTGAAAGGCCCAAATGATAAACTGTTACTCTCACATTAAACTACGTTCACTGGCCCTCTAGTACTGGGAGGTGTAAAACCCTATTCCAGACAATAAACTATTATCCCAAAATTAAAATACGTCTGTCCCGATGAGGCGGATTTTTTCAATTGACCTAATCCTTCCAGCTGCACTATGGTCCTGGGATTGGCTCAGCCTCTAACAGAAACGAGTACCAAGATTATTCCCAGGGGTAAAGGGCGCCCAGCGCGTAAGGCTGACAACCTCATGGCCATCTGTGAGCTGACTGTCTAGAAAATGTGGGAGCCTCAACATCTCACAACCCCATGGGCCTCTACGTCCTGTTACAGGGAAACATTTACTTTTACTTTACTGACTTTACTGTCAAACCAAGCACTACAATGGGATTTAAATTCGCAGATGATAAACTCCCAATAAAACACTTGCCAACCCTGTATTACTGGGAGATTTTAAATATGTGTTCAAAAGCAACAAAGGTAATGCACAGCTATGTCTCTATAACATGCCTGATGTTTCTTTTATCAATATGCTAGTGTCTATACCTGATCTCTAGTGACTACTTTTCACATACTAATTTAATTCCTTATTCTAATTATTATATGATATAAGCCTGGTCAACAGAATTTTACATGAGATCAAATTATGTCCTACTAAAAATTTCATATATTGTTTCATTTATGTGCAAACTTCAGTGAAACTATCATTTAACATCCTTTGGTTTAAGATTTAATATCATTCAGCATTCAATGTTAATAATCTCAAGTAATAATATAATAATTAAATTTCCTCAGTTTAGTGTTCAAATTCACTGAAGAATACTTCAGCATGCAAACCCCCCTGCTAAGTAATGACTGCGTAAATAACACCCATTGGTAGGAAACAGACACCTAACATGCACCAATGGACTAACTGGGAAGCAGGGTTCTCTACAAAGTCCATGTGACAGCTGCATGACACAACAACAGAAGAACCGCTGGGAGATGTGTTTTCTGTGCAGTCTGTGCCGAAGTGTTATAAGCAAGACAAGTATACAGTTTAATTAGTTGTGAGACAGTTCCTGGGCAGTAAGGACAGGAACACAGAAGTTGAGGGATCTACGGTATTGGAAGCCATTATCAGACAATGACTGGTGAAGACACAGCGGACTGAGAAGACTTAGTACATGCTGTAGTGAACTGCTGAGTAGGTGAATTAGTGAAAGAATTATTTTGTGATCTGCAAGTGTTCAATAAATCCAATTACCAATCCAAACCCTGTGTATAGCAATTCATACACATAACAATACTATCATCTGGGATGTGAAGCGGCCTCCGTAGTCTAGAGGTAACGTTCCCACCTCATGACTTGTGGTACGCGGGTTCAAATACCCAGCGGAGGTCGTCGAATTTTTAAGGACGGAAAAATTCAGGGAACAAGTTCTCCGGGAGGGACTTTAAGCTGTGTGTCCTGTGTCGTAACTTTATGGCATGTAAAAGAACCTCATATCCCCAAAGGGAACCACTGAGCCAAATTCCAGGACGTTTCCCACCCAACAATAGTCTCTAAGGCCTCTGATAGAGGGGGGAAGCATTATAGACACCACTAAGCAAGTGGCCAAACTCGCTTGCTCAGCGGGACTGATGGTACGCACCATTTATCGGTAGGGTAAAGAGACTGGTAGAATATCATAGAGGGAAGCACAATAGATCAAACTGGTCGCGGTGCATGGGGAAACCCACCCTCTCTAAAAAAAAAATAACTAATAATCTGGGATGTGACACCATCCCGTCTGATACATGTTCACTGATGTCTTGGTGGAGTGTAGTGTCTCCATCCTCAGGATCGAATGGCTTACAAATTGAACCTGATGTAGAGGCAGTTCATCTGAAATGTCAATGGACTTCTGCCAAACTACACAGTGCTAGATTCCCGAAGAGAGTACTGTTAACAGTCACTTCTGTAAGAAGTAAAAATCAACTGTTTTTCAAAGTAAACTTAATCCGGGATTTCATTGTATTACGGACTAAACTGGATTACTGTGAAACGAAGTGAGAAATCTAACTCTGGTGTCAACTGGTTGGGAGACAGTGCATGACAGTGCAAAAATTATGGCTGATAATGGTGAAATGCTGCCACCAAAATAAGGTTTATTATTTTAATGACCAATAGTTCTAAGGCCGTGAACCAAATGATAACACTCAAGAAGAGACTCACATGTTCATCATGGGACTTGTTTTCTGCTGTCCATTCGGAGGGGTAACAGAAGTCAACTGTTGATGGGAGTTGCTTGCAGAAAGGCTGCCATTTGGCTGCTTTACTTGCAGCTCTCGTTTCATTATCTCGCCTTCTGCTGTGCCCACGGTAGATGAACGTGGTCGCAGGCTGCTGGCACCGCTGTCTGTTGCATTGCTCTCAGGCACCTCGAGTGCTGGAGCTGGTGATGAGCGGGAAGTTGGGCTAGCATGTCCTGATGAAGATGGTGGATCCTAGGAAAATATCATTATCTTCCTTTTGAAGAGTAAATGACATTATTTTCCAGCTATGATACCTGAACCATGAAACGATAAAATAACAGGGTACTGACAAGATGCATAATGAGGAGCTTTGTAACTTGGCCCTCTCACTGGTAATACTTTTATGACTCTTAAACTGAAAAGGATCAGATGGGTGGGACATGAAACATGAACACGAGAGAAATGAGAAATACATATGAAATATGCTTATAAAACCTCAAGGGAAATGAATAAGTGTGAGAAATAGGCGTAACAGGTGGATAATATTAAAATGACAGAAAGGTGTAAAGGTGTGTATTCAAGAACATATGATCCATGTGGAATGTCAACGTTAATAATCACCACCACAAAGAATGATATTGGAGAAAATCCTGAGTTAGTTCAATACAAGCCAGTTTTGTAAGGTCCACTTTATTGATGTCTTCCCATTCATGTCACATGTTCCTCTTTGCACTAGTTGAAACATACTGATTACGTCAAACGTGATCAAGCATTTATTTTCGTTCACACTGAGAGACGAAGTTTCACACTCAAATAACACCGCTCTCTCTACCCCTCCCTCCCTCCCTCTGTGCGCACAGGCACGCATGTGTGTGTGTGTGTATACATATATATATCCCCACAATTTCAGTATACACATACTCCTCACTTTACAAAAGGGATAGATTTCCTGGAAGGCATTTGTTAGGAACCTGGCAGACTTCACATGCAGAGTGGCTCTCTGGGCCAGACCCCAGGATATAACGGTCAGATTTGTAAGTGGATTCATCATCACTAAGGCTTATGGTTCATCCTTGGGTTGCAGATGGAGGAGATGGCCTGCAGATATGGAGGGTAGCTGTGAATATATCGAATAAGCAGTCAAAATAGATGAGAAGGGATAGTCCTCCAGCTCAGGGGTTGGGCACAATAGTCAGCTTCCTGGCTGAGATTCAAACCTGGAACCTCCATCATCTCAGCCAACTTGCTTGGTCAAAGGAAGATAAATGTAAGCACACGTATATATTTATGACAATGAACATTTAATTATAAATTAATAGTACTACCTAACTTCTGGCGTGTCGGTTGGATCTACAGAAAACATAGCTTCCCCTTTTATGGCATGTTGGATCATGTAAGATTTGAGGCTTTCACGGTGGTGACTATGAACAAAGCAGTCTGCTTTTACCGATTCTCACGGTCTCTTCGCTTGTATATTTCTTATATTTTTTCTTCTTCCCTGAAGATGGAGGCGATACGATCCTCCGAAACATCGGTTAACACCACATATACATGGTGCCAAATCCCAGAAGACTGCTTTCTTCATGTTGGATCATGTTTACAGAGCTGAGGCCTGGCAACGAGTCGACCAAATCTGTTACAATATGCTGCCCGGTCAGGGCTATCAGACATCTCAGGGGGCACTGACACATGATGATGCAGCAGTAATGGGATGATGTTTGGCATGGGAAAACTGAAGGAATTTGGAGAGAAATATCCAGTGCCATTTCATTCACCACGAATCTCATATGAAGTCACATGGTACTGAATCTGAGGTTCTGTAGCAAGAAGACAGCATCTAACTGCCCAAGTAAATGAAATATTCTGAGATAAAACTTACAACATATAGTTAGAACACTGAGGACAGTAAACAACATGCAACACAGTACAGAGACAGCAGCTGGTTTTGTGAGAGTGTGCAGGGTTGGCATTACACATGAGCTTGCTTCTGCTGTACACATACAGAGAAAAAATAATTCATTTTCAAAAATACAATTTCATTACTTGACAAGCATAAGAATGAGGGTGTTAAGTGAAGTGTTAACAAGGACTGAACCTCATTCCCAATTTCAGCTTTGGTTAGCAACATCTTGTGACACACGAGTGTGTTGTCTGAGTGACAGGATGGCTTTAAAATTATAAAATGAACTTAAGTGTAAATGGGAGAAGCAATATATATGGATAAATACCGTCTACAATATTATATTTCAGCATCCTGTTACACTCACACAATATATATGGATAAATACCGTCTTAAGTGCAACAAATTTTATTGTAGTTTTTACTTCTTTTCCTCCTCCACACTACATGTTTCGGCCCTAAATGGCCATCATCAGGTGTGTATCACTCACGTAGCTGTTAAACTGCTTTTTAAAATTTAAAATTACCAGTCTTTCTAATTGTATAAAATCTTTGTTAATCTACACGCGTCGATTTGATTTTTAAATTAGCACTTTTTAAAACTTAATTCAAGTTAAA